ATTGGATTGATCTGGCTCAGGATATGGGCCAGTGGAGGGCTCTTGTGAACACGGTAATGAACCTTCGGGTTCCATAAAATGGTGGGAAATTCTTGAGTAGCTGCAGATTTGGCTTCTCCTCAAGAAGGGCTCAAGTCCACAAGTAAGTAAGTAAGTGTATATATATATATATATACATACGTATATTTAGGAGCTGGAATTCAGTGTCATACACGGTGATGTGGCATGCCTGAAGATAGACCGTTAACAGACTACTGTAGGTGAGTTACTATATCTGGCCCAACTTCTGTTGCTGGGTTCTGTGTTGAATCATACAAGGGCAAAGCTTTCGTTTCTTATGCCAGGAGGATGTCTGCTTTCTGTCGCTTGGCACACACCGCTAATTGGGTCTAAGTTTCTTCTTCTTCAACGCCTCGCGCCTTCAGGGTTAGCACTTCAACCGTGATGAAACTCAGAAAACTGTGTTAATGTTCTCTAGGCGTGTGGTACTTCGCATTACCCTTTGAAACCATCGACTATATGTTTCATTCGCCTTCGGATGTTATAGTCCTTTGTACGAAACAAATTCTCCTCCAGCATATTGATGTTGGAACTATATTCCTTTGTTCTGGAGTCGTTTCGCAGTCTGCAGGATAGTAGGTTCACTGCTAGTGCAGTAGTGTGGTTTTCTACTTTTCTTATTGTATTCCAGTTTTTCATTTCACTGAACACTGTGTTCATTTGTAGATCTTCATGGATCTTGTGGTTGTTTCTGTACCAACGTGAGTGTGTACAAAATGTGTGTTCAGTTCAGTTGATTTATTAAATAAAATAATTCAAATTTTATATATAATTTATTATATTATATTGATTTGATCTGAATAAGGCCTTCGTGTTTTCGAGTTCCATCTTCTGGGATATAACGCCATGGAGTCCGCTGAAAAACAACAGACGTTTTGGAGGAATATTTAGCCCCCATCTCTGAGGTCGAAGTAGCCTGCTACATGCTTCACGCTGCTTACTCGCTTGACTTATTTTTCAACCCTCAAAAAGGAAGCAACATAATCCTCCAGAACGTCCGGTCTGCACGGCGTTATATCCCAGAAGACAAAAGTCTCCATAATTACCCAATTTCTTAAGATTACATTTATTCATTCATGTGTAATCTGTCAAGACGACTGATCCACAGTCTCTTCCAAAACAGTTCCTCCACTTAATGCGATCTAGAGCTTTCTCCTTCAAATGACAGTATCCTCTTCTGTCCCCAAGGTCATCCAGCATTTTCTTACGTCTTCTTCCTCGTCTTCTGGTCACTTCTATCCGCCCCTCCATCTTTCCTTCAATAACTTCCTTTAGAAGGCATTTACCGCGTTAGATATGACCAATCCAATTAGCCTTTCGTTTTCTTATTTCATGTAGGATATTCCTCTGCTCACTGACTCTAAATAACACTTCTTCATTTCTCATATAATCAGTCCAACTGATCTCCATTCTTCTCCAACACCACATTTCGAAGGAGATTATATTATATATTATATTAATTTTACAACTTCTCTTTTCCATTGCTTGATAGCTGTTTCGATCTTAATTTCACATAAGAAAGGTCACATATTTTCGTTTCTTTGTTACAGTAACTACAAAGACGTAAGTAGATCTCGGGTCTTGTACAATGTTGAAGTGCTTTCCAAACATTCAGTCATTCGAACTCATACCGTCGTTCATTATTATCCAATATACTAGAACATACACTGAAATTAGTGCAAAAGGCCTTTATCACAACTCTTCTTTATCGATATATATGGGAATCATTATTTTCTGTGCATGAAACTCCTTTATTTATGTAATATCTTTGGTTTAAACCACAAATTCTTGTGTAGAAATACGCGGTTTTCCTTAAACTCACATTAAATATGCACCAACACAATTGCCAGATATGTCACAATATTTTTTAACCCTTACGCACGTCAGCAAATTTATTCTCGGAGGTTCAACATTTGTGGAAAGTAAACGCGGGTAAATAACAATTCAAAACTGACCTAAAGTAGACACAGAATATTTGTGCTTTAAATCATCATTATGCAAATTAATTTAAAGACAGATTATCTCCAAACACTTGGCTAATTAATGTTACAGTGTTTCAAAGTTACGGAGTAACAACAGTGTATTGGGGGGGGGGGAGCAGGAGTGTTATTTACGACGTTGTCAGGAGCGCCTAATGATGGCATGATTAATGAATTGGAAAGGGGTTGGAGCGAACTAACTGTGGCCTAATCGTGATATTATCATGGAAATTTTCTAGAGGGAAAGCGGAAAACCACCAATAATTCCAGTCAGGATAATCAGTACCAAGACAAAGATTCGAACATGTAGCACCAACCAAACACAAATCTACAGCACTACCGCTGCACCAGCCCGTTAATTGTAACGGGGCACTGTCCTGATACGCACGAGTTACGTCATATTTTTTTATAACAGACCTTTCGTCTAAATTATTTTATTTTGATTTGTACTGTGTTCGTAAATAATTATTCTCTCTGGAACTATACACAATAAATCCAAGACGTTGAGATTGGTATCTTCAGGAAGACGATGCCGTGTAGTCTTTTGAACAGGTACCGACGTTTTCAATTAACCACCTGCCTCCATCTTCAGGACAGAAGAATAATATTCCTTCCTTGAAGATGTAGAGAACAGGTAAAAGTAAAGCTATCTCTGTAACAGGCCGTGGAGGCCCATAGGATGGAGAGACGTCGAGGCTTCCACATTTTCTAGACAAACGGCTCACACATTGTGGTTGTCAGCCTCGCTCGCCGGCCTAACTTTCAACTCCAGGAAGATTCCCGGTACTCATTTCTGTCACAGGCTGAGTCGACCACAGGTCCATAATGCGGCTGGAAGGATTAGGTAAACTGAAAAATCCAATAACCTCATGGAGAATCGAACTCGCGATCTTCCGGCTTGTAACATAGTCCCTCAACTAACTACGCTACCTCGTGAATCCGGAGAGATCAGTTTATTCCGAAATACTGGAAATTATATACCAGGTTGGTGTAACGGTACGGATCTATAGGTTTATTCGTGAAGTACTCGGTTCGAACCTCGGTCGGGATAACGGATACCATTACCGAGGCTTTTCGCGGTTTTTTCTCAACCATTTTTGGTAAATGTCTGATATTATCTCGATTGTTTTATTGTTAGTGTGGTGGGACTAAATATTGTACTAGCCCCAGATGACAGGTGAGGGTGATTAATTGGTGGAATAAAGACTGGCAAGGGAAACCGAAGTAGTCAGAGAAAACCCTGCCCCAGCGCCACTTTGTTCACCACAAATCCAACTTGACCAGACACGGGACCGAACCCGGGCCGCCGCGGTGGGAAGCCAGCGACTAACCGCTTGAGCTATGGCGCGGCCTTATCTCGATTAGGCGACAGTCACGTCCTTCCAATTCCTTTCTAATTCATCATTAATCAGTCCTATCATTCGACGCCGTGTAGACTGGACACTGAAAGCGATGTCAAACAAGCAATAAGGTACACGACGTCATATCTCAGAAAACAAATCTTCACTGTCACTGCCGTTAGAGGGGGCGCTGTAACGTAGTTGGTTGAGACAACATGCTACAAGCCGGAAGATCGCGGGTTTAATTGCTGATGAGGTTACTTTTCCTATTGACCTAATCCTTCCAGTCGCAATATGGCCTTCAATCGACTCAGCCTCTAATGGAAATGAGTACTAGAAATCTTCCTGGTCGGTAAAGAGCGGCCGGCGCGTAAGTCTGACAGCCTCACGGCCATCTATGAGTTGATCGTCTAGAAAATGTGGGAACCTCGATGTCTCACAATCCTGTGGGCCTCCACGGTCTGTAAGGACAACTTTACTTTTTACTGTCGTTAGAACATCAGTTGTCACAGATACAACATTTAGTATTTGTGCTTTATTTTTCCCTTAATTTTGAAGCAATCTTCTCGAAATAAACCCAGTATATTGCTTCTTATCGATCTGAAAATAGCTGTCTCTAACTTGTTGTAAAGCCGATCCAAGTTTGTGGGCTTCTATGGTCTTTCAAGAGGTTACACGCGAACAAGTTTACCGGATGTAGTCTGCAAGGTGTGGGTAGTCAGAAGTTACAAGAGGACGTTTCCGGGAAATATTTTGTTGTGGATATACCGCTGTTATTACTGTGGCAACACTTTCATCTTGAGTGACATATGAAATCCACGAACTTAATAACTGGAATATTTTGTAATATATAACCTTGACGTTTAATAAGTGTTCTTACCTTAAAATCTCTCGATTTCCGACTTTATGGAAGTAGCTGTTTGTCTCTGCCATGCCTGAAAATCTCCTACAAGGAACAACCAGAAACCTCTATTAACATTGTTATGGAATTGATATGAATATGTTCAAGTGATTTCAAATCTTTTTAAATACACTTTTAATTTCGAAAATATAAAAAGTACCATGTAAGATTTGAGGCTTTCACGGCGGTGACTATGAAGAAAGCAGTCTTCTGGGATTTGGCACCGTGTATATGTGATGTTAACCGACGTTTCGGAGGAACGTATCGCAGTCGTAAAGCAGTCTGCTTTTACCGGTTCTCGCGGTCTCTCTTTGCTTGCAGATTTCTTATATATTTTTTCTTCTACCCTGAAGATGGAGGCGATACGTTCCTCCGAAACGTCGGTTAACATCACATATACACGGTGCCAAATCCCAGAAGACTGCTTTCTTCATAAAAGGTACCCTTTACGGGGCTGACCCAGGCCAGTTCCTTACGTGTAAATAAATTTAATAATAAGATCTAAAAGTTTGTGACGATGGTAAATTGCTACATGCAATATGTTTTTGGACATTATCCATCGTCTTGTCTATTTTCAAAAAACCGTCCTATTTCTTTTTAAAGCACAACGTTTCGGAGACTGGATTCTGTCCCCGTCCTCAGGTAAAACCTACTCAGTTGGGTCCAATAGACAGAGCTAGCCCCAATCTCCGGAGGTAGTCTCCGAAACGTCGTGTTTTAAAAGGAAACAGAACTTTTTTTTTAAATAGACTAGACGATGGATAATGTCCAAAAACTTATTACGTGTAAATAAATTTAGTTTGCTTCGTGATTGCAGAGCAGCTTGAAGTTACGTTACAAGTTGAAAGTTAATGGGCTGTTGCATTGTCACGTGTTAGTGATTAGACGCGGGGTTTGGATTGGTGATTGGATTTAGTGAAATTATATAAGTCGTAATTACAAGTAGTTATAACGTGTCCACTTAACTACACACTATGCAAAGCACTACTCCAAACACTGAAGTTTCTATGTCTTCACTAAGTGTTGTTATGTAACTGCTTCTAACAATGAAAGATTCTCTAGTTTTGAGCTCACGTACTTGCTGGCTGGCGACTGATTCACAACTAAGATAGTCCTTGCTATATAACCTCTGCATGAACAGCATAGAAAACATCGCTTCCAACAGTTCTTCTATTGATGAGTGTGTATCTATTGCTGCGGGACTGTGTTTACCCAGCCGTTGTCTAACAATGCCTGTCTATTCTCGCTCTCCTATCTGAATTTTCACCCATCATGTGATAATACGTTGATAATCACGATGTAGTTCAGCAGTAAGGTTGCCTAATCAAGGCAGAAAGTACTTTCAGAGATGTTTTGAAGAAAATATAGAGCAGACATTTGCATTCAGCTGTAACCGCGAACTCACGTCAAAATTATGTATCAGTTCAAATTTTATCACGGGATAATTTCTCTTACTTTCCATCAAGGAACCACATGGTGTAGTCCATAGGCGAAATTTTCCGGACATCCTATATACTCGTATTTCTTTGCAGTTTTTAAGTTCGGAATTTGTTTGTTTTGATGAAAACTCCCCTCACACGCATATGGTTTCTGTCGCAATATTTCTGGCCCGACCTCTCATCTCATGTATGCAAGAAGTAAGAATAACATGAAGCGTTCCTCATACTGGCCACATAGGACTTTCTTCCTGTCCTTACACATCCAAGTAGCATATGCACCAGCATTTCAATGCTGAAATAGTGAATTAACTCTCTGTTACAGGTTCGATACTCAGAACACTTAAGCCTAACTCCTGCCCAGATATCCCCTGTTCGGTGTCCTAACGCATGTAGATATCCTACTGTATCTAAAATACCCTTCACTCTGAGTACATATGAACTGAATTCCTACCCAGATATCCCCTGTTCAGTGTCCTAACGCATCTAGATATCCTACTGTATCTAAAATATCATTCAGTCTGACTACACGTGAGATGAATTCCTACCCAAATATCCCCCGTTCAGTGTCCTAACACATCTAGGTATCCTACTGTATCTAAAATATCATTCAGTCTGAGTACACGTGAGATGAATTCCTATCCAGATATCCTCATCCTCCTTGTAGTCAACGTTATAGCAAAACAAAAACCTTGTGTAAACATGTTTCAATTTCCCACCGACTGCTGAATACAAGAAACTGTTGAATACAAAACCTAGCACTTTTAACGGTGACGTATCTCTCTACGTCACTACCTGACTATGACGCACCCATGTTCCATTGACAATTGTATGCCAGATGGAGTATACCAGCCTACAAGATTTCCTTTCCAAGGCTAATATATTTATCGATACTTTATCTGACGGCCGTTATGTCAGTAGGACGCAGTCTTCAGACGTGGAGCATATACCGTCATACGTAATCTATGGATTTAGGTGCTTCCATCAAAGCATATGGAATGGCATTAGTTCAAAGATGGCGTTCTTATCTTAGTTTAATGGCAATATGCAGGTAGCTACTTAACAAACAATATCGCAAAATATAAGCATATCTCTATTTACATTTGAACAGGTTATCGCATTTTGAACCATGATAGGCAGCTGTCGAGAGATATAAAGAATTAAAGAAAATATGCTGTGAGTAACCCTCAAACTTTGCGCTCTTTTATGAGTTCTCTGTACTACGCTCCTTTTCGCATCGAAATGTTTGCACAAATGGGCTGTTGTACAGGTACTTATTTCGTGGTCGTTGCCTAACAACGGGTCTACATACCACAACATTAGAAGAAATTCAGTCTTTACAGGACTAATATTACGTATTGATTTATTTTTCATAGGAGACAGGGACATTTAGGCTGCATTATTATGGTTGATTCTCACCCCATTTCTACAGTTAACAAATGAAAATACTGTCACGTGTAGGGTTGTACGTGTGAAGAAAATAACGGCTTATAGTTCGGGTGATTGGATTTAATAGCACCTTGGTTACAAGTTCTCTGTAATCACACTTAAATACAGCGCTATTGCTAATTTACACATTTGCCAGCCCACCGTTGCACACGCACAAGGATTTTTCATCTTCACTAGTCATCTCCTGGCAACGGATCTCAACATAGAAACTAGTAGTTCAGGTCACTATGAAGTCTTCTTGCTACGTGTATTTGGTCTTCAGTCACTCTGGAACCTCGGAACTAAAAATTCTTCTGGACTCACTCCTCCGGCTTAAGACTAACTCATAACTGTGTCTCTCCCTTCTCTTATAAGCACTCTGCACAGACCCAACGGAAAACACCGTCTCTCTTGTTGATGACGTCACAGCTTTCATAGCATGGTCCGTTACACGGAAATATGTTTACTAAGCCGTTACTTAGAAACGGATTGCATAACCACGTTTTTCTAACGTTGCTTGGCGCAGCCCGCATAGAAAACATGGCCTCATGCGTAACCTAACAATGGACTGTTCACCTAGGACCTGTCTTCGCGGGAACTTATTTACCAATACGTTGCCTAGCAATGGGTGTACATTTAACAACACACTTTAACTTTATCTAATAAGATATTCCACCAATGGATCCAATGATGAGCCACGTTGTACCAGTTCGTTACTTCAGAACCGTTGCTCTAGATAGACTCTGAAAATTATATTTCCTTGTTCTTCTTAGTACCTATTACCGCAGGTTTCCTATTTGTACCCTCATTTTCAAAAAGCGATCTGTATTCAGAGTTCTATAAATGTTGGTTCATGTAACTAAAAGCGATATTTGTTTTCTCATGTCTCAAGCTTTATAAAACATAAGCCTCTTATTACACTTTCAAAGCTCTGAAAACCATAATGTAAAACGCAATGGGTGTCCCTCACAGGAGACATCGGCCATGATGCACGTCTGATACTTGCTGTAAAGGTATTCACGAAAACAGGCTGGCAGGACAGAAAGGAAAGAAGATTAAAACGAATTATGTTCATTGATATTTAAGGATTTCCATTCAAGAACTTTAGACAGAGCAAAGAGGATTTCATTTTCAGATAAGTGTGGGTTTAATGTTCATTAAATTTATGGAAGTGTAAACGGTAATATGTGTTCGGACACAACGAGCAAGCAATTATTGTCAATGTGGGAACGAAGTGATTCAGTGATTGTTTCAGAGAAGAGTGAGGGCTTGAGGCACTGAGCAGGTACTGGAGAAAGTAAGTGATTTTCAAAACCAGGAAGTGAAAAATTGGGTTGAGATAGTGAGAAACTGAAGCACCATGTAGAAAATTAATGATTATATAAGACAGCAGGTGATCGAGAGAAATAGTAGATATATAAGTGAGTAAGTGATTGAAAAAATAAATGCCAGGGAGATTGAAAGAATGAGTGATTCATGCAATTAGTAGGGGAAATACCTAATGAGTAGCGTGATTGAGACAGTGCACAAGCTAAAGTGACTATGACAGTACGTAAAGTAGTGATTGTGGCACTGTAAAACATCGAGTACTCGAGACAGTGCGTAAGATAAAGAGTGACTACGTTAGTAAATAAGGTTGTGATTGTGGCACTGTAAAATAGCGAGTGTTTGAGACAGTGCGTAAGGTGAAGAGTGACTACGACAGTAAGTAAGGTAGTGATTGTGGAACTGTAAAATAGCGAGTGCGTAAGACAGTGAGTGATTGAGATACTGCGCAAGACAGTGAGTGATTGAGATACTGCGTAAGGCAGTGAGTGATTGAGATACTGCGTAAAGATGGAGACAGAGTGCAACTGAAAGTAAGTGATAAGAGTGTGAGACAGCGATTAACAGGAAGACAGAATGACTGATTGAGTCAAGGAGTGTGTATGACTGCGTGTCTTCAGTCTTCAGCTACTTACACACGAACTATTCGGTTATGCAGTCGTCTAACACCCTTGGCCTTCTTAATGACAATTTTCCAGCCTTCCATGTTCTTTCATCTTGCCACTTTTATTTCTCGTAACAAATTTTTTCCAGAAGTTTTCTAAATCACCTTCGTTTGATCAATTCTGATCACGTGCTTCCACCAATCCAATCTTCTTTTACACGTGCCACAAGATAAGAAGTTCAATTTTTTTA